TCATGTCTTTGTCTTCACTTTCATCTTTCTCTCTCTCTCTGTCTCTCTCTCTCTCTCTATCTCTCTCTCTTTCTCTCGTCTCTCTCTCTCTTCTCTCTCTCTCTCTCTCTCTCTCTCTCTCTCTCTCCCTCCCTCCCTCCCTCCCTCCCTCCCTCTCCCTCCCTCCTCCTCCTCCCTCCCTCTCCCTCTCCCTCCCTCTCCTCTCCTCTCCTCTCTGCCCTAATTCCATTTTTTCCAGTCTCAAGACTTTGATCAGAGAATACGCTTTGTCAGTGAAATTAAAGTTGGGGAAAACACTCAAAATCGCCCCTCATTACTTACGTGAAAAGCCTTAATTACTCATTGTCACAGGACGCTTAATTAGGCGCCTCATTGAACAGCCATTTGATTAGGGTCAAGCTCATTTAGCAGTCTCTCCGCCCGCCCCCGCCCCCCCCTCCCCCTCCCCTCTCCTGCGTCGATTCCTTCACTTTCTTCCATGTTGCTACGTGCGAATAAGTTGCAACATGAGCACGATCTGCAACGATGACAAAAGCTATTGTCTACGGTTAATAGGTCATCACAGGTAATGGGCAAGGCGATTAATGGCCCATTAATGAGGAAACGGAGGTCGTGGGAGGGCGTGAGTGTGAAAGTGTTGGAGGGGAGGGGAGGGTATGAGGGAGGGTGGATGGAGGGTTGGTGTTGTGGGGGAGGGGGAAAGGGGAGGGAGGGAAGGAGGAGGGAGGAGGGAGGTTGGGGAGTGGGGAAACGGGGAAGGGGGGAGTGAGGGATGGAAGGAGGTGGTGTGGGAGGGGGAGGTAGGAAAGGGAGAGAAAGGGAGAGTAGGATGTAGAGGGGGAATTAGAAAACGAAGAGGGGAACAGAGGTGAAAAGGAAACAAAGTAGTGAAGAAAAGAGAAGAAATAAAAATTCGAACACACGAAATGAACACCTCGTCAACGGGACCATAATATTGCTCACAAAAGATCAGAATAAGGCAAGAGAAAGGGTAATGTGTATGGTGATATGGGAATGAGAGAGGGAGGGAGGGAGGAGAAAGGGAGGAGTAGGTGGAGGGAGGGGAAAGGGAGGAGTAGGGGGAGGGAGGGGAAAGGGAGGAATAGGGGGAGACGGAAACAGGACATTGTAGATTCAGAACCTCGATGAAGATGGATAAGTCGAAGGGGTCGATGTGTGTTCGGTCATTTCGCTTCCTCTCTCTACCTCCCTCTACCTTTCGAGTGACAGGTAGTTAAGTAGTCGTTAGGCAGGCAAGCGGTCGTTAAGCAGGAACGTAACTAGGTCGTCGAGGAACTAAAAGAGGTAAATAAGAGGTAATTTAGCGGACAAGTAATTAAGCAGGTAGATTACCAGTTCGATAGTTTGACTCAGAAGACATACAGGTAAGTAGGAAATTCACCAAGCAGGCAGGTACCTTAGGAGTCAATAAACTAAACAGGTGGACAAATACGCAGGGACGAAACTAATTAAACAAGTAATTAAACAGGTTAATAGGTGAACAGAGAGGCGGGTGAACAGAACGAGCGCGTGGCCCTCTCGTGACACACACAGGCAAGTCACTGTGAGAGCGTGAGAAATTCGGTCTTAATATAGGGTGCGGGGGAAGGCAGTAAGGGAGGAGACAGGTGGGCGAGTCGTTGTTATATACACGGTGTCTTTCTCTGTATATATTTCTTTCTCTGTCTCTGTCTGTCTCTCTCTCTCTCTCTCTCTCTCTCTCTCTCTCTCTCTCTCTCTCTCTCTCTCTCTCTCTCTCTCTCTCTCTCTCTCTCTCTCTCTCTCTCTCTATCTCTCTCTCTCTCTTTGTCTCTTTGTCTCTTTGTCTTTATCTTTTTATCTTCTTCATTCCATTATCTCTCTCTCTTTAAGTCTTCTCTCTCTCTCTTCTCCTATCTTTCTCTCTCTCTCTTCTCTCTCACTTCTCTCTCTCTCTCTCTCTCTCTCTCTCTCTCTCTTCTCTCTCTCTCCTCTCTCCTCCCTCCCTCCCTCCCTACCCTGTCTCCCTGTCTCCCTGTCTCCCTCTCTCTCTCTTTATCTCTCTATCTCTACTCTACCTCTATCTCTATCTCTATCTCTATCTCTATCTCTCTGTATTCACGTATTCATTTACTCGCTGAATTACTCATTACTAATTACTCATTCACTCACCCATTCATTCATTAACATTTATAAACATGCGAATATGTTGGTTCCGGATCAGTCCTATCGGCAATCACATTTATTCATTTACTCATTAATTTATTCATATCCACCTGTTCACTGACAGACAAAAGTGGATAGGGTCGCGGATCAGCCGTTGCTATCCACACAGTATCCACTTACATCCGCTTATTAGCAACCATTAATTTATCCACCCATTCACATATGCATTTTAAACATACAGACAGTATGGATGTTGCTGGTCAGCCTTTGCTATCCACACACTACCCACTTGCATTCACGTATCCATTATCACTCACTCACTCACTCTCACTCACTCATTCACTCTTCACACATTCACTCACGCAATCACTCACTCACCCACTCACTCACCCCACCCTAAATTATACCCCCCCACCCAATTCATACCCACATACAAACCAAAAAAAATCTGCAGTCCTCTACCCCTCCCCTCCCCCGCCCCCCCAACCCTCCCCCTTTTTCACCCCTACACCCTGCCAAAAGCCGATCACTCACCTGGATCTACGCCACCGATGCACTGATTGATTGGTTGCTGTGTGGCGCTTGCTGTGGTGGGCCGGGGATGGGGGAGGGGGGGGGGGTTCTTGCAGTTGGTGCGGGAACGAGAATGAGGTAGTTTTGTTGTTGTTTTTTTGTTTGATTTTGTTGTATTTTTGTTAGTGTTAGGGGTGGTGTAGTTGGCCTTGGATTGTTATCGTTGTTAATAAGGTTATTATTCATTATCATCATCATCACCATCACCATCACCATCAAAACCATTGTCACCATCATTATTATTATCATCATCATTATCATAATAATCATCATTATCATAATAATCATCATCATTATCATAATAATCGTCATTATTGTTGGTGTTAGTAGTAGTAGTATCATCATTATCATCACCAATTATCACAGTCTTCATCAATATCATAGCTAATAATAGCCTTTCTCATCACTCGTTTTCATCAAATTGAACATCAAAATATCTTCACATACTTTCTTTTGCACAAGTACAAAGTGCATTGTCATTGTTATCGTTGTGTAAAGAGTGACTTCACGGAAACGAGACTGTTCTGTATGTTTAACCCCAATGATTTTTCATTTTACGCGTTTGCTTCTATTTTGCCTTTCTCTATCTCTTTCTGTTTCTGTTTTTTCTTTCTTTTTGTCTTTGTCTTTCTCTCTCTCTCTTCTGTTTTTCTCTCTCTCTCTCTCTTTTTCTCTCTCTCTCTCTCTCTCTCTCTCTCTCTCTCTCTCTCTCTCTCTCTCTCTCTCTCTCTCTCTCTCTCTCTCTCTCTCTCTCTCTCTCTCTCTTCTCTCTCTCTCTCACACACACACACACACACACACACACACACACACACACACACACACACACACACACACACACACACACACACACACACACAACACATATACATACATATATAAAAAAGAGAAGGGGAAGACAAACAACAGACAGACAGACAGAGAGACAGGAAATGTATTTTCCGTCATATTAAGGCTTAGACACGCCACTTAGTAACTACAGCTGTTCTCGGGTATACTGCAGTAACGTTGTTTGTTTTGTCCTTCCTAGATTTCTTCGCTATGGATACTGGGTCTTCTGGGGCTTGTAGTGTGCTGTGTGTGTGTGTGTGTGTGTTGTGTGTGTTGTGTGTTGTTGTGTGGTTTGTGTGTGGTGTGTTGTGCGTGTGCGTGTAAAGAGAGAGAGAGAGAAAGAGAGAGAGAGAAATAGAGAAGAAAGAGAGAAAAGAAATAGAAAAAAAAAAGAGAAAAAAAAAAAGAAAAAAAAAAACAAACGAAAGAAAACGGGAAAGGAGAGAGAATAGAGAAGAAAAACAAGAAGAAAGAAAAAGAAATAAGCAAAGAGCGCAAGAAATTGAATCCAAATTGAACCAGACAGCAGACGTTATAATAGTCAGTAACAATGTAACATCACACCAAATGCAGACCTTAAGTGGGCCTCATGACACACTAAAATGCCTAGCAACAAGAGATACAAATAAAAAGATAAATAAAAAACAACATAACTCTTGAAATCCACACCACCCATCCCCCAAACGAGACGAATCGCCCCCCCCCCCCCAAAAAAAAAAAAAAAAAACCCCCCTCAAAAAAAAAAACGTTTTCTCCCCCTTTATAAAAAACGTTTCTCCCCCCCCTTAAAAAACGTTTTTTCCCCCTCCCCTTAAAAAAAAAAAAAAAAAACGTTTCTTCCAACCACCAAAGAATCTTCCAAAGAGATTAGAATATTAGGGACAATATCACGGGCATTCTTCGCGTCGCCTCCCTCGCCCACCCTGTCACGGAGCCAATTATTATCGTTAAGTGACATTTGGCAACTGAGGGCTGCGGGAACATCTGGGGAGGCGCTTCTTCCGCCTCCTTCCCCTGGGGGATTCTTGCGCTGTCTGTCTGGCCGTCTTTGTCTGCTTATATGGGTGTTTGTGTATGTTTGTGTTGTGTATGTGTAGTGTGAGTGTAAAGTGTATATCTGTATATAATTGTGTTGTATACATATATATGTATGTATATATATATTTCAATCTTTGTCTACTAGTTCCCTTGCCTTCATGTCTCTTAATTTCTGTATATCTCTTTTCCTTCTAATTAAATTCATTCTTCTCTCCCTCTCCCTCCCTCCCTCCTTCCCTCCTCCCTCCCTCCTCCCTCCTTCCTTCCTCCCTCCCTCCTTCCCTCCCCCCTCCTCTCCTTCCCCCTCCCTTCTCCTTCCTCCCTCCTCCCTCCCTCTCTCCCCCTCATTCACCTCAACGAAAACCAACTCTGCATCGCCTTCCCTCACGCTCGCCTCTCTCCCGCCCTCGCAGATCTTCTTCCGGAGGGACCACCACCACGGGCGCAAGATGACGAAGCTCGCGGCCGCCATTGAGGGAGAGAACGGCCACTCGCACCACCATCACCACCATCACCACCACCCGCACTCCCACCATCACCACCACGCCCACAGTCACGCCCACACCAACGGCACCTCGCCCACGGATGTGCAGCCGGTCAAGCCCGACTCTCTGCAGAATGGGAAGAAGGTACGTTAAGTTTGGTTGAGATTACGTAAGAAAAATGGACGTTGTTTTTGTAGTTTTTTTCTTGTTTTCTCCTTTTTTAGTTCCTTTTTTCTGGTTCCTTGGTCAGCTGTTCCAAAAAAGGCACTTCAGCACCTATTTTTTTTCATTAACGTTTGTTGAAGAAAAAGGTCACGGAATCCTATTTTTTAATACACACCTTAGCTGGTGAAGGAAAAAAAAAACACACAAACACACACAGTAACTCACACTAACCCACTCACCTTCGACCACGACCCCTGACCCTACCCCGTGTGACCTCCCAGACCCAAGATCCCGGGCGGTGCGCCGTGTACTCCATCACGGGCGCCGTGGACTCCTCCAGGGGCGTGGGCGCGGGCGGCGGAGGAGGAGATGTATCCTCGAAGACCCGGTGGGCGGAGTCTGGAGTCGATAACCCAGTGTTTGCAGGAGACATTGATGCTGTGACCTGGAACCCCGAGCTCAAGGATTCCATTACCAACGGCACGCAGGTAGGTCGGCGAGGAGGAGATGAGGGGAGAAAGGGACAGAGGGTGGGAGGGAGGAGAGGAAGGGAAAGGAGGAGAGGAGATGAGGGGAGAGAGGAAGTGAAAAGATGAGGGGAGAGAGAGGGAGAAAGGAGAGAGAAGATGAGGGAAAGAGAGAGGTGGGAAGGAGGGAGGAGATGAGGGAGAGAGAGGAGAGGAGGGAAAGAGAAGAGAGAGGGGGAAAGAGAGAGGGGGAGGGAGGAGATGAGGGGAGAAAGGAGGAGATAAGGGAGAAAGAGGGAGATGAGGGAGAAGAGGAGATGAGAGGAGAGGGAGAAGGGGAGGGGGGAGGAAGGAGGGAGGAATGGGAGGAAAGGAGAGGAGGGAGGATGGGATGGGTGGAGGGAGGGGGTGATGATGATGGATGGGTTCAAGGAAGCGGGAGGAGGAGGAAAGAGAGAAAGGAGGAAGGGATATATTATAGTATATATATATATATATATATATATATATATATATATATATATATATATATATATATATATATATAGAGAGAGAGAGAGAGAGAGAGAGAGAGAGAGAGAGAGAGAGAGAGAGAGAGAGAGAGAGAGAGAGAGAGAGACATTCGAAGAAAGTGAAAATCAAGAGAGGCCAAGACTCCCGCCCGAGTGCAAGAGGCCTTTCCAACAGCTCGGAGAAGAGAGGGGGAGGGGGGAGGGGGTAGAGGAAATGGCTTGACACATTAATGGTACGTGTCATGTTATTTGCTTCGCCTGTCATGAATACAAGACCGTGCGACAAGGACGTGGCACTCTGTGTTTGCATGACACGCACGTGCACCTCGCGTCTGCATGTTTCACTCACTGCACATTCACTGCTCTAATTCGTGTCAGCGCGCGCGCGCACGTGTGTGCGTTTGTGCATGTGTATGTATCATATAGATAGATAGATGTGATATATTTATATATATGGTGTGTGTGTGTGTGTGTGTGTGTGTGTGCGTGTGTGTGTATATATATATATATACATACATACATATACATACATATGTGTATATATATATATATACATATATTGTGTGTGTGTGTGTGTGTGTGTGTGTGTGTGTCTGTGTGTGTGCATATACATACGAATATATATACACACATACATGTGTGTGTGTGTGTGTGCGTGTGCGTGTGCGTGACTGCCCGTCTGCCCAAGGAATTAGCCAAAGTCCCCATCCATAAAAGTACAGCACAAACCACCCATTCATAACTTACGCATCAACGCATACCCTTCCCCTTCCCCAACCCCTCCGACCCCCCCTCCACCCTCGTGCTGACCGCGCCGTCCCTCCCTCCCGCAGGTGGTGCCCGTGACGACCTCGTCCAGCAGCGCCGTCCCCGAGGCAGTTGCACACGGCGGCCACGGACACGGCCACTCCCACCTCAGTATTGGCAAACTCGGAAGCAAAGGACTGGCCTCCAATCTGCGCTCCTTGCTGGTCATTCTTGCGCTGTCCTTCCACTCCGTGTTCGAGGTCTTCTTTTCTTTTCTTTTTTTTTTTAGTTTCTTTCTCTTGTGTCTTCTCTCGTTTCTTTTTCTTTCTCTCTCTCTCTCTCTCTCTCTCTCTCTCTCTCTCTCTCTCTCTCTCTCTCTCTCTCTCTCTCTCTCTCTCCTCTTCTCTGTTCTTTCCTTCCTTTGTTCGTGTAATTATTTTCTCCTTTTTTTTATTTTGCTTTTTTTCCCTCTTGGTTCTTTTCTTCCTTCTTCATGTAGTTCTTATTCTTCTTTTTTTATTTGCCTCTGAGATTTCTTTTTCTTTTCTTACGTTATCTTTTCTTCTTTTGTTCTTTTTCGTTTCTCATTTTCCTTCTCCCTTCTCTTTTTTCGTCCGTTTTTAGTTTCTTTCTCTTGTTTTCTCTCTCTCTCGCTTCTTTCTCTCTTTCTTCTTTCTTTCTTCTTTCTTTCTTTTCTTTCTTTCTTTCTTCTCTTCTCTCTCTCTCTCTCTCTCTCTCTCTCTCTCTCTCTCTCTCTCTCTCTCTCTCTCTCTCTCTCTCTCTCTCTCTCTCTCTCTCTCTCTTGATTCTTTCCTTCCTTGTTCGTGTAATTATTTTCTTCTTTTTTATATTTGCTTTTGATTTTCCCTCTTGGTTCTTTTCTTCCTTCTTCGTGTAGTTCTTATTCTTCTTTTTTTTATTTGCCTTTGAGATTTTCTTTTCTTTTCTTACGTCTCCTATCTTTTCTTCTTTTGTTTTCTTTTTCGTTTTTCTCATTTTCTTCTCCCCTTCTCTTTTTCTTGTCCGTTTTCCTCTTCTTGTTCTACCACGGAACAAATGGAGTGCTTGTCGTGAATATCATTCAATCAGTTTCATTAATCTTGCTCAGTTGTCTAAATCATACTCTTTTTTTCTTCTTTTTTGTATAAACTTAAACCTGTGTAATACGTCACAAGAAATGATTGAAGAGTGATTTTCTCTTTTCTCTTCTTGGGCAATGTAATAGTACACATATTCAGTCTGATATCCTTGTACTAGCCATGTGCTACTGGATGAATTAAGGTTATATTTCCAATTATAGTGATAGATTTTATTTATATTTACCATCGTATGTACCGCTTCATATAGATATTTCCTTTAAGAGGTTATCAAAGGATGGGAAACAGGTCCTTTACCTAAAACTGTTTCTTCGAGACAAAATAGTGTATGGTTTAAAGAAATTCGAATAAAAATCAATAAAAAAGAAAGTAGAAATAACACCCTCGCAATGGGCGTCCTCCTCCTCCTCCTCCTCCAGGGCTTGGCAGTGGGCCTCCAGGAGAGAGAGGTGGACGTGTGGTACCTCTTCGGAGCCATCTGCGCGCACAAGCTGGTCATCGCCTTCTGCATGGGGCTGGAGCTCCTGGTGGCGGGCACGGTGGTGGGGCTCATGGTCGTCTACATGGTCGTGTTCGCCCTCGTGTCGCCGCTGGGGATCGCCATCGGGATCATCGTCACGGAGAACATTACCTCGAACGACGGAGGACACCTCGTGGCCGTGACGATCCTGCAGGGCCTCGCGGGCGGGACCATCCTCTACGTCACGTTCTTTGAGGTCGGTGCTAGAGAGCTTTCTTCTTGTTTTATTTCATTTATTTATTTATTTATTTTTCTCGCTTTCTTTTTTCATTATTGTTTTGTGTCTGACGTGCCAGTAGAAGAAAAGGAATTCAGAGGGTTGAGTATTAAAGTCCTGACCGAGAGAGAATGGCGACACCATTTCTCTAAGAACTCTTGCTAATCAGCTCCAGCTTGTTTCTACTTATGCTTGCGTTGCTTTCTCAAAATATTCGTCCGTTCTAAAGCTTCCTGGATTAACGCCCCCCCCCCCTCCTCTCCTCTCCCGCAGGTGCTGGAGCGAGAGCGCAACCACGGCGGCGGGAGGCTCATGAAGCTGCTGTTCATCGTGCTCGGCTTCGGCGCCATGGCTGCCGTGGAGGCCGTGGGAGGGCACTCGCACGGGCCCAGCGGCCACGGGCACAGCCACGGCGGCCACTCGCACGGCGGCGGCGCGTCCTCCCTCGGCCTGGAGGAGGACCTCCACGACCACGACGACCACGGCCACGATCACCACGACCACGGCCACGACCACCACGACCATGACCACCACGGCCATGATCATCACGACCACTAAGGCTACCAAGCCCTCGTGCAGTGTAATCAAAGGGCTTCGGTTTGTGTTGTCGTTCGGCGTCAGCTGGTCGTTCAACTGCAGGGGAGCGAGGCGGCCGACGCTCGCCCCCTGCTGTGGCTGTGATCCAAGGACTTGCAGAGGAAAGCCAAAATGGGAAACTAGGAAGCGAGCAGCGAGTGGCTAGTGATCTCAACATGTGATCATCCTGTACCATATAAGATTAGTGCCTTAAGGAGAAATTTAAAAAGAACAATTTTCTTCTCGTTTTCTCTCTCTCTCTGTGAGAATTCATTTCTTCCTGAGATATAACAGTGCTGAAAGAAATATATATATACAGATGAGACATAAACATTCCACTGAATTCTTTACTGAAATATATCTAGAACAAAATAGAACATTTCGTAGTTATCTTTATCAAAAGAGGTTTCCCGTTTGTGCATTTGCTGATTAGTGGCCAAAATGTTCAGAAATCCAGTGTTCCAGGTACTCTAGTGTGTTCCAAATGTGCTTACAAATGCAGCACCGAAAAAAAAACATGTTAGTTTTGAGTTCTCGTGAAAGAGAGTGTGCGTCTTTTCCTTCGATTTTCTCATGAGTGTTCATAGTGACCTTGTGTGTACAGTCGCATTTTTATTTCTATTTTATTTTTTAGTATTTTTTTTTACATTATGGTATTTCATCTTTTCATGGTTGGTAATGTCATATGAATATGTTAATGAGAACAAATTTTGTGTTTATTAACGTTTTCTTAGAAATATCTTATCCATTTTCTTGGTTATCGCAAAGACTGTCGCGAAAACATTCTTAGTGAGAGTACTTAAGTGACTTTGACCTTCCTTACGATACTAAGAATAGATAACAAATTGAATACATGAATAAATTCTTGAAACCTGAAAATTATTGCGATATACATAGAAAATTGATTTGGCTATTAAACGCATATTTTATCAAACATCATTCTGTTGAAACACATCATATTATCAACATAATAAAGTTGTAATATGCACGCTGAGACAAGGTAAGAAAAGCTCTGGAAGGAAAAATCCGTTTTTTTCTTTCTTTCTTTCTCTTTGCCCGCGGGGATAAAGGAGATAACAGAGAATGAAAAAAACGGTTTTAGTGAAAAGGGATAAGGAAAAAGTGAGGTTTACAGGGCGGGGGTAAAAGCATGCCCCGAGGGTGGTTAACGGTCACTCTCACCCTTCAGAAGCGTCACCCTTACTTTCCTCCGTCTGCTCAGGATTAGGTGTTAGTCTATTATAAATTCTTTTTCTTATTTTCTAATAATTTAGATAATTCTTAAAAAATGATGATGATATTCTTACGTGAATATCAACAAAAACACACAAAAAATTACTTAAAACAAACTCGATACCGAATCAACAAACAAACAAAACCCCCAACACTAGAACAAATAAAACATAGGAAAAAAAAACAGTAAAACTGCACATTAATTCCACGCGGCGGTTGTAAAGTCCGCGCGACCTTGTGACGTCAAATTACATCACTTTTCCTCGCGTTCTTAAGGCTTCTTCGAGACATCTTATAAGGCTGATGCTTCCTTCCCGCCCCCTCTGCCAGCTGGCGGAAGAGGCGTGTAAACAAACTGCTGTTTATTAATTTTGTTATCGATATTGTGTATATGTTTATTCGTTTGTATGTTTAAGGACATTATCTAAAATTGTAATGATTAACTACAGGGGTTGTAATAACTAGAGAGATATTGTAATGCTCACTATAACACTAAAAAAGAAAAGAAACAAACAAAAACGACCAAAAACAACAACACAAAAACTCAGGTATCAGCCCCAGTATTGCCAACACGGGGCGCTTGAGCTGACGGAGGAGCTGACAACACGAGCGGGTTCTTTCCGTTAGGTGACTGACGGTCTGAGCGAATCTAAGAGGATTTGTTGCTTTTATCCTCGGTAAATGCGGACGGACGGCTTCAAACACGCAGGTGAGCACGCGTGTAAACAAAGACAGGGACGAAACTCATAAAAGGGATATTATTAGATCTATAAAAGCTCACATAATGACACATTTGAAAATGAATACACACATGCAGGCGGTACACATATAAATACACTAACTCAAACTCTACGCACACGCCACACACACGACACACACACCACACACACTGCACCAATTCACACACACACACACACACACACAATCACACATCACACACACACACACACACACACACACACACACACACACACACACACACACACACACACACACACACACACACCCCTGTTTACGCGAACACCGTGCCCCGAGGCGTCATCTACGGGTAAAGAAGGGCGGAATTGGGTTAAATTTTCATCAGAGAGAAAATGGCATCTGCGAAGGGCGTTAATGACTTAGATGATGGTTCTTTTCGGGTTGTTTTGAAAGCGGGATGAATCATTATGTTTTTGTTGTTGTTTTTTTTGTGTGTTTTCTTTTTTTTCTGGGTAAGTGCATTGTTTGTGCTTTCTTTGTGAGGGCGGCGGGGGGGTAAAGATTGAATTTTTATTCATGTTTTTTTTCATCTCTCTCTCTCTCTCTCTCTCTCTCTCTCTCTCTCTCTCTCTCTCTCTCTCTCTCTCTCTCTCTCTCTCTCTCTCTCTCTCTCTCTCTCTATCGATCTATTCTCTTCCCCTCTCTCCTCTTCTCCCCGTCCCTCCCTCTCTCCCACTCCTTCCCCTTTCCCTCATAATCCTCCTTTCTCTCTCTCCTCTCCATCCCTCTCCCCTTACCTCTTCCTCCCTCCCTCTCCCTCCTTCTCCGAGCCTTCTATCCTTCTTTATTATTTTTTCCTCTAGTCTTCCGTAACTCGATCTCGATAATTAACCCAAAACATGCCTAAACTTCAAAAAAAAAAGAAAGAAAAAAAGTTATCAGCACCGCTCGCTTCACCTAACGCCGTGTGCAGAGAACGTTCGAGAACAGATCACGTATGTCCGCGTTGTTCTTTTGAGATCCGCGGTGCATGTTAGATGAACAGAAAAGTAGCACAAAACGTAACGCTTCTGGTTCGCAAAACGACGTTGTTTTTGTCTCGTCTCTCTCTCTCTCTCTCTCTCTCTCTCTCTCTCTCTCTCTTCTCTCTCTCTCTCTCTCTCTCTCTCTCTCTCTCTCTCTCTCTCTCTCTCTCTCTCTCTCTCTCTTATGCATTCGTCATTGCTCTTTGTTCTTAAGTTGCGTGACACGAGCGACTAAATTAATCATGAAAATGTTTAAAGAGTAATAGCCAGCGAATAGATTTTATTATTATTATTATTGTTGCGATTACTACTATTGCTACAACTATTGTTATCTGTTTTATGATCATCATTATTTCTATCATTAGTATTATTAATACCATTGTTATTATCGTTATTATTATTCATTTATTTTTATCATTATTATTATTATTATTATTTATTATTATTATTATTATATTATTATTATTTTATATTATTATTATTATTATCATTATTATTATTGTTTTTATCATTATCTTCATTATTCCTGCTATTATATATTTATTATTATCATTATCAATATAATTCATTAAGTATTCAGCTTCCACTCACCTCCATAACGCTAACGTGACCAGGTACACACACCCATGCCACGCTGTTATGAAATATTGATAATTGCGTTAACTCCGTACATAAAACAGGTACACGTGCGTCGAAGCGTAGAACGTTACGAAGGAAGCGACACGGCAAAGGTTAGACCGGCACGAGAGAAAGCACGTGAGGGAAAGTTAATATTATCGAGGTCGGAGGCATAACTTCTGGTTTTTTTTATGTATCTCTATACGTGTGTTTTAGTTTTAATGATTCTTTTTCTTGTTCGTTGTTCTTTTTTTTTAGTTTACGTCTGGGAACGACCGGAAATCGGTTAGTAAATGAGCTTGTTGGGTAGTTGGTGGATAGTTTGCTGATGAACTAGAGTAGGAGAGAAATCGCGTTAAGAGGAGGGAAAGGATGGAGAAAGAGGGACGAGAGGAGGAAATATTGGAGAAGGATGAAGAAGAGGGAGGGGGAAAAAGCACAGCAGAAGATAAGAGGCAGAGGAATGGGATTCGTGAAAAAAGCAGGTAAGGAGAAAAGGAGGGGGAGATAGATAATGGAGATAAAAAGGAGGTTAAGGAAGGGTTGAAGATGCACTGAAAGGTGAGGGAGATGGGCAGCGGGGGGAGGGGGAAGGTTGGAGGAAAGGAGGGGTGAGGGCGGGGCTTAAGTTGAGCTGCGAAGGGAGGGAGGAGGCGAGACCGAGTGCCCCCCCCCCCCCCCCGGTTAAGGTCAAACCATTCATGGGTTTGTTATACAATACATAGACAAAAGTACATGCGTGTTATTTGTCCCTGATGTCACGGAAGTAAAGGCCTCCCTCCGGGTAATTATAATTCATAGAGATAATTAATTCAAAAGTAAGGGCGTATTTTGACGGTTCGTTGTCCATACGAGGGAGTTTCATACCGGTTGCATTACATCATCAATATTTACGTTGGCTACACACGAAGCGAATACAAATCACGTGACCCAGAAGTAAGATTCTATTTTAAAAAAAGAAAAAAAAAATAGAACCGGCTATATATTGTATTTTGGCAAGGAACTATCATCCGTTGTCTTTGTAGAAAGTAGTATGGTAGGTAATCATTTGTTTATTGCTAGTTCGTGTTCGCCAAGGCATGTTTTAGATGAATATGGATTTTGTAATCGGTTCGTATTTACAAAAGCAGATGCAAAATATGAGTTTGTAAGTATTATCATTATTATTCTTGTTATTATTATTTATGTGGAGGCACTGAAAAAGCAATAGAATTTTCTTTTAGGTTGAGTTGTGTTTACAAATACAATTATTTTCTACTGGAGCTTTTCCCTTTGTCGCAGCAAGAACATATAAACGAAAAACGAAAAGAAATAAAAAAGGATAAGGTCAAAGTCGACATTTTAAGGTGAAAACACTTTTTTTCAAGGTCTTCCATCTTACCTCCATCTACCTATGTACTGCACTTCATATCTGTCCCTTTTTAAAATGCACAATGTACTGTATATACACTATTTTTTCTTCTTTGGACACGAATTACTTGGCCTACATTCAAGTAAATTCATAACTTTTTATTAACTTTTGCGTATTGTAAGTATCGGCAAAGTGTATTGAATGTTATATATTCAGTGGCGGATACGGTAGATACTTATATTTTGACTTACACATTTTGACAATTTCCTGAAGAATGATAAGCTATTTACGGGAAATTATACATAAGATTCCCGTTTCTACTGCTTTGTATGAAACCTGGTATGATCGGGCATAGTTTTAGGAGTGTTTTAGGCTTTTTAATCAAGCTTAATAAAACGCAAATTATCCAACAGTTGAATTCTAGAACTGTTGGTTTGGCAAGGAAGGGTTGCCAGTTAGTCTAGTTACTGTGAGACATTATTATAATTCATTATTATCTTTCTATAATCTCTTTCATCTTGGTAACTGTTAGTTGTTGTGATTTATACAAACGGGAGAGCGACGTTTAAGGTTAAAGGCTAAAGCAGCTAGTCTCTTCTCGGTTTTAAATCAAACATAAACCTTCCGATGCTTGCGAAACGAGTCTTCCCCGAGAGGGTTCGGCTGCGCGCACGAGCCTCCTGGGAGAAGAGCGCTTGCGATAGCATTAATGAAGGTTTCTTTTTGTTATCATTTTTTCGTGTTTTTCTCCTTTTTTATAATGAATATGTTAGTTTTTTTCTGTTTTTTTTTCACTTTCTCTCTCTCTCTCTCTCTCTCTCTCTCTCTCTCTCTCTCTCTCTCTCTCTCTCTTCTCTCTCTCTCTCTCTCTCTCTCTCTCTCTCTCTCTCTCTATTTCCATCTTCCTCTGTATATATCTATCTTTGTTTATTCTATTTTGTTGTATTTTTTTCCTTACTTTGTTAGCTTAAAGTACGAGCTTCTTTTGTTTGCTTTTTTGTTTGTTGGCATCTTTTTGTTAGTCAAGAATTTTTTTCCAAGGAAAAGGAAACACATTTTTGTTAATTTCTCTTCTAGAAATTCAATTCCTTTTCGTTTCCTTTTTAGGAAATTCAGTTGTTTTTCTATATTTTACACATTTGATGAATGTTTCTGTAATTAAAGTAACTTTGTGCACTGTATTTATATACTTATTTATTGTAATTATTATTACTATTCACTTTTTTTTCATTTTTAACATATTGAGCCCCTTATATTTTAATCCCTCCCTAATATAAACATGTCTTATAAATATGTGAATAAG